AAAAACCAACTCTTGGTTTCGTTGATCTGCTCTACAGTTTTTTTAGATTCTATATTGTTTATTTCTGCTCTGATCTTTATTATTTCTCTTCTTCTGCTGGGTTTAGGCTGCCTTTGCTGTTCTGCTTCTATTTCCTTTAGGTGTGCTGTTAGATTTTGTATTTGGGATTTTTCTTGTTTCTTGAGATAGGCCTGGATTGCAATGTATTTTCCTCTCAGGACTGCCTTTGCTGCGTCCCAAAGCGTTTGGATTGTTGTATTTTCATTTTCATTTGTTTCCATATATTTTTAAATTTCTTCTCTAATTGCCTGGTTGACCCACTCATTCGTTAGTAGGGTGTTCTTTAACCTCCATGCTTTTGGAGGTTTTCCAGACTTTTTCCTGTGTTTGATTTCAAGCTTCATAGCATTGTGGTCTGAAAGTATGCATGGTATGATTTCAATTCTTGTAAACTTATGAAGGGCTGTTTTGTGACCCAGTATATGATCTATCTTGGAGAATGTTCCATGTGCACTTGAGAAGAAAGTATATTCTGTTGCTTTGAGATGCAGAGTTCTAAATATATCTGTCAAGTCCACTGATCCAATGTCTCATTCAGGGCCCTTGTTTCTTTATTGACCGTGTGTCTAGATGATCTATCCATTTCTGTAAGTGGGGTGTTAAAGTCCCCTGCAATTACCACATTCTTATCAATAAGGTTGCTTATGTTTATGAGTAATTGTTTTATATATTTGGGGGCTCCGGTATTTGGCGCATAGACATTTATAATTGTTAGCTCTTCCTGATGGATAGACCCTGTCATTATTATATAATGCCCTTCTTCATCTCTTGTGACAGCCTTTAATTTAAAGTCTAGTTTGTCTGATATAAGTATGGCTACTCCAGCCTTTCTTTTGGCTTCCAGTAGCATGATAAATAGTTCTCCATCCCCTCACTCTCAATCTAAAGGTGTCCTCAGGTCTAAAATGAGTCTCTTGTAGACAGCAAATAGATGGGTCTTGTTTTTTTATCCATTCTGATACCCTATGTCTTTTGGTTGGCACATTTAATCCATTTACATTCAGTGTTATTATAGAAAGATACGGGTTTAGAGTCATTGTGATGTCTGTACGTTTTATGCTTGTAGTGATGTCTCTGGTACTTTGTCTCACAGGGTCCCCCTTAGGATCTCTTGTAGGGCTGGTTTAGTGGTGACAAATTCCTTCAGTTTTTGTTTGTTTGGGAAGACCTTTACTGTCCTTCTATTCTAAATGACAGACTTGCTGGATAAAGGATTCTCGGCTGCATATTTTTTCTGTTTAGCACACTGAAGATCTCGTGCCAATTCTTTCTGGCCTGCCAAGTTTCAAAACAGAGATCAGTCACGAGTCTTATAGGTCTCCCTTTATATGTGAGGGCACGTTTGCCCCTTGCTGCTTTCAGAATTTTCTCTTTATCCTTGCCAGTTTCTCTATGATATGTCGTGCAGAAGATCGATTCAAGTTACGTCTGAAGGGAGTTCTCTGTGCCTCTTGGATTTCAATGCCTTTTTCCTTCCCCAGTTCAGGAAAGTTCTCAGCTATAATTTCTTCAAGTACCCCTTCAGCACCTTTCCCTCTCTCTTCCTCCTCTGGGAAACCAATTATGCGTATATTATTTCTTTTTAGTGTATCACTTAGTTCTCTAATTTTCCCCTCATACTCCTGGATTTTTTTTATCTCTCTTTCTCTCAGCTTCCTCTTTTTCCATAACTTTATCTTCTAGTTCACCTATTCTCTCCTCTGCCTCTTCAATCCGAGCTGTTGTTTCCATTTTGTTCTGCATTTCGTTTAAAGCGCTTTTTCAGCTCCTCGTGACTGTTCCTTAGTCCCTTGATCTCTGTAGCAAGAGATTCTCTGCTGTCCTCTATACTGTTTTCAAGCCCAGCGATTAATTTTATGCCTATTATTCTAAATTCACTTTCTGTTATATTATTTAAATGCTTTTTAAAAAAAATTTTTTTTTTCAACGTTTATTTATTTTTGGGACAGAGAGAGTCAGAGCATGAACGGGGGAGGGGCAGAGAGAGAGGGAGACACAGAATCGGAAACAGGCTCCAGGCTCCGAGCCATCAGCCCAGAGCCTGACACGGGGCTCGAACTCATGGACCGCGAGATTGTGACCTGGCTGAAGTCGGACGCTTAACCGACTGCGCCACCCAGGCGCCCCTATTTAAATCCTTTTTGATCAGTTCATTAGCTGTTGTTATTTCCTGGAGATTTTCTGAGGGGAATTCTTCCGCTTGGTCATTTTGGATAGTCCCTGGCATGGTGAGGACCTGCAGGGCACTTCCCCTGTGCTGTGGTGTATAACTGGAGTTGGTGGGCGGAGCCGCAGTAAGACCTGATGTCTGCCCCCAGCCCACCGCTGTGTCCACAGACTGGTGTGTGCCTTTTCTTCCCCTCTCCTAGGGGCGGGATTCACTGTGGGGTGGCGTGGCCCGTCTGGGCTAATTGCACACTGCCAGGCTTGTGATGCTGGGGATCTGGCGTCTTAGCTGGGGTGGGTAGGCAAGGTGCACAGGGGCAGGAGGGGCAGGCTTAGCTCGCTTCTCCTTAGGTGATCCACTTCAGGAGGGGCCCTGTGGCAGCAGGAGGGAGTCAGATCCGTTGCCGGAGGTTTGGCTCCGCAGAAGCGCAGAGTTGGGTGTTTGCGCGGAGCGAGCAAGTTCTCTGGCAGGAACTGGTTCCCTTTGGGATTTTGGCTGGGGGATGGGCGGGGGAGATGGCGCTGGCGAGCGCCTTTGTTCCCCACCAAACTGAGCTCTGTCGTCCGGGGGCTCAGCAGCTCTCCCTCCCTTTGTCCTCCAGCCTTCCCGCTTTCCGAGCAGAGCTGTTAACTTATGACCTCCCAGACGCTAAGTCGCGCTTGCTGTCGGAACACAGTCCGTCAGGCCCCTCCGCTTTTGCCAGCCAGACTCGGGGGCTCTGCTTGGCCGGCGAGCCGCTCCTCCGCCCCGGCTCCCTCCCGCCAGTCCGTGGAGCGCGCACCACCTCGCCGCCCTTCCTACCCTCTTCCGTGGGCCTCTCGTCTGCGCTTGGCTCCGGAGACTCCGTTCTGCTAATCCTCTGGCGGTTTTCTGGGTTATTTAGGCAGGTGTAAGTGGAATCTAAGTGATCAGCAGGACGCGAGGTGAGCCCAGCGTCCTCCTACGCCGCCATCTTCCCTCTCCCCTCGCCAAAAAAAAAAAAAAAATCGCTATAAGAGTTTCTAGGTCCATTCCTATTTCATTCATATTTTCATATTCCTAGGTCCATTCCTATTCTATTCACGATACATTTTCTCTGTGAAATAATGCTCGGTAGGGTTTTATGGGCTAATGTCATAAACAAAAACCCTTTACAGGTGTGTTTACTAAAATGTTTAAAGTTCTCAGGGATGGCAGGAACACATCTCCAAGGTAAAGTAATAACCTTGGATTAACATGAAGAGGAAACAGGTGGTCTGAAGGACAGAGCAGTCACCAAATAGTTACCATTTCTCTCTGTACTAGCAACATGGAAGTTGCTAGTACAGAGAGAGTACATTATAAGTAACATTTTATAACATACACGATTTTAATAGTGTTTTTGTAGTGTAAGATTTTTTAATATTATTGATTTTTTTAAGTCTTTAGAGGGTTTGCCATATACTTCATCACGCTTTCTTATTTACTTGGTTAATTCTTTTCTGTAGCCACATATTTCTAATTGTGTAAGACAAGTACACAGGAGAAGCTTACATTAATTGTGTAAGACGAGTTAGTGGACACTAAGACTTACAAGAATGTATTCATATTTAAGATTATCTGTACTAGAAGAGAATACTTCAGAGCATGTATGGATCACATAATGTCATTGCTGTTTGAGAAATAAGCAAGCTGGTAAATTCTATACTGAGACTACATCAGCCCTATGTTTACAGTGATGCTTCTTCAGAGTTGAAGCAACATGTATCAGGTAAATGCTTTTGTCCTTTTATTTCTCTATTTTATTTTTTTCTTAAAATTTTTTTTAATGTTTGTTTATTTTTGAGAGAGAGAAACAGAGACAGAGAGTGAATGGGGGAGGGGCAGAGAGAGAGGGAGACACAGAATCCAAAGCAGGCTCCAGGCTCTGAGCTGTCAGCACAGAGCCCGATGTGGCCTGACGCGGGGCTCAAATTCATGAACTGTGAGATCATGACCTGAGATGAAGTTGGATGCTTAACCAACTGATCTATCCAGGCACCCCTATTCCTCTATTTTAAAGAGGTCTCCAGGGGTGCCTCGGTGGCTCAGTCAGGTAAGCATCTGACTCTTGGTTTCTGTTCGGGTCATGATCTCATGGTTCATGAGACTGAGCCCCATGATGGGCTCTGCACTGACAGCATGGAGCCTACTTGGGATTCTCTCTCTCCCTCTCTCTACCTCCCCCCCCACCATAAACTTTTTTTTTTTTTAAAGGAGACTCCATAAAAAGAAATCCTTTTAAATTCTTTAATTAGGTGTAAACTTTATATCCAGACCAAGTGTATCTTATTTTTTTTCTTTTACTCAGGAACATTCAAGTGTCACTATGGTGCAATTATCAAGGTTAGATGTGAATATAGGGTAGAACATACAAGGTTGAGTGTGGTCAGGGAGAAAATGACCAAGACGTGCCTGTGAGGAGTTCATAGGAGTTCATAGTATGGTTGCAGAGAAGCCTGAATCTTAAGTACAAGATTACAGTAAAGTGTGATGAACACAATAATAGGGGCAGGTAGAAAGGGCTACAGAGCACATTTGACCCACATCTTCGGAAGTCAAAATTTAGCCCTGTACAGACGCAAAATTCTTTCCAAAGTAGAATGTCGGCTAAAGCTCTTTCCCGTAATTACCCTGATTAAATGATGCATCTAAATCTGTTATATGGTTTCTCTGTCATTACATCATCTCATTGTCCTTCTCATGCAGATTCCTGAATTGTGACCGTGTGCATTCCAAGGGCATTCCATATGGCAACCGAAGAAAGGGCAGGAGGTGAGGACAGAGTGCCTGACTCAGGGATGTGGCTGTTAGAAGTCAGGCCCCTTCCAGTCACATTACCCTTGGCTCTTCCTATAACATGGGAGAGTCTTTCTTTTTAGGATTTGGTGGCTCAACAGGTCTGGAAGGATTTGGTAAGGGGAGGCTTCCTTGAGCTCTGTTGCTGGGAGAAGACAGGAAATTTAGCAAGTCAAACGGCAAAGGCAAAACCACTGTGGAAGGTTTGTCTGTGGACAAGGACTGGAGCGTGTGGAGGTATCGCAGCTGAGCAGCAGCCGGAGTGCCCGCTAGGATCTCAGCTGCTGTTCTCAGGGACTCGGAGGCGGCCTTCTCCCCTTCCGCGGCGATCACCTAGAGAACGGATGTGCAGAGAAGCAGAGTGACTTTTCCTCCTCGTTCCTCCAAGGCTTTCCTCACTACTCAGGGTTCCTCAGCAAACATGGAGCGTGGAGCGCCTAGTAGGTGACGGGCACTGTCAGGCACAGAGCAGACTGCCCTGTTTCTCAAGGATCTGGTCCAGGGGAGACAGGTGATACTACTGGTGTAATTTAGGGCAGAATCTCTCAAGGGCCCTGACCAGCAGAGTGAAGTGTTGAGGGAGTTGCTCTGTCTGCTGGGCCTTGAAAGATTAGTAGGATTTTGCCATATTGAGAAAAAGCTGGCCGGCATTCTAGGCAAGGTCGTGGAAGCCCGAAAGGGGGACTCCTAACTAGGGCAAAATGAACAGTAAGCATTTCAGAAGGAAAAGCACTCAGCTCACCATCCAAATGCCACCGTCGAGTGGACAAAGAGGGCGACCCAGAGATCGGGAAGGTACTCTGCCCAGCGGACCACTTCCTTCCCTCCCTCCTCCTCCTCTCCACACTCCGGGGTTACTGACCTCTGCTGTGGTAGGGTTTTCTCCACGTGCTTTCTGTTCTTTAAGAGACGTCTGTCTCTCCTTCTGTCCTCATTTTCCTTTTCCCGACACCCGTCCCCCCACCCCCACCTCGGTCCTCGGGAGCTGCCGGCAGCCACGTCCGTGCCACTCACTGGCGTGGCCGCGTGGAGGCTGCGAGCCGCGCAGCCTTCCCTCGGCTCTGGCATTGTGGGAACTGGGCCCTCATCACGGTCACCCCTGCACAGCTCGCACAGAGGTAGGGACACAGGTCTGGTGTCATTCACATAGAGGTGACGGGTGACTGGCATTCCCTAGGGAAAGGCGTCAGCACAAGAGAAGGATGAAGGATGGAGAGACGCCCTTAAGGAGAGGGAAGGCAAGACTCCAGAAGGAGGAGGTGGTCACTGTTACCAGTAGCTTCAGAGAGAGGGCGTAAGAGAGATGGTTTCAATACAGTGGGGCGGGGGGCACAGGCCAGCGTCCTCCCAGCTCCTGCACGGATGGGAGGTGAGGAAGCAAAGGGGACATGTTCTGCAGGAGCAGGCCTGGAGAGCGGGCGCGGCGCTGGCTCACCCGCGCTCTGGCCTGTCTCTGCGCTTCGGCTTCCATAGCCAGTGAGTGCTGGAGCCCGGCCGGCAGCCTGACATCCTTACTGGAAGAGAGAGACAGTGGGCACGTGGGTATGCAGCACTGCTTGCAGCAGCCGGGGCTTCCTACAGGCTGGCCACCCGCGCAGCAAATTCGGACCGCTCAACGGGGTGTCCTGTCCCTAGACTCTGAGGTAGACAGTGGCGGGGGAGAGCATCTCAAAAGTCAGTGCCTCAAATGCAGACTTGCTGTTGTCGCCGATGTTACCGTAGAGCTGTGGCTTTTTCTCGACAAGTAGAACACGTTTTTTGGTTGATGGGTTGTTACGATCTTTCCCACTTACAGTTTAGGCTAAATCCCAGCTATTAAATTTGAATACTGAAAACAGTCTTGGGGCACCTGGGTGGCTCCGTCGGTTAAGTGTCCGCCTCTTGATTTCGGCCCAGGTCATGATCTCGTGGTTTGTGAGACTGAGCCCTATGCAGAGCTCTGTGCTGACAGCATGGAGCCTGCTTGGGATTCTCTTCCTCTCTGCCCCTCCTCCACTCACGTGCTCTCTCTCAAATAAAAGATAAAAAGCACATAACCTTTAAGAAAAAACACAGCCTTGAACGGCCATACTATTAAGAATAAGGGAACTCATCTAAGTTTATAAAGGAATTGATTTTGACAAGAGTAGAACTGACAAGAGTAATACTTAATGTATTACATAAAAGATACAAAATTGAATTTTTACCCTATTTGAAACTATGAAAATCACACAGAAAACAATTTGGCAGTTCCAGGCAAAGTTAAACACAGAGTGACCGTATGGTCCAGTAATTCTATTCCTGGTTGTATCTGAAAACGTGTTTGCACAAAAACTTGCACCTGAGCGGTCACTGCAGTGTTGTTCATAATAGTCCTAAAGTGGAGACAACCCAAATGTCCGTGACCAAATGAGTAGATAAGCCAGATGTGGAGGATTATCTGACCATAAAAAGGAATGAAGTGCTGATACCCACTTCACCATGGAGGAACCTTAAAAACAGTATGTTAAGTGAAAGAAGCCAAACGCAAAGGGCCATATAATATATGACTACCTTTGCATGAAATGTCCAGGACCGCCAAATCCAGAGAGGAGACCTGTGCTGTCAGGCTGAAGGGGGTAAGTGAGCAGTGAGGGGTTCCTGCCTAATGGGTGTGGGCTTTCTCTTTGGGCTGATGAAAATATTCTGGAATTAGATGGTAGTGATGGTTACACCACTCTGTGAAAATAATAAAACTCTTGATTGTACTTTAAAACGGTTATAATGGTCCATTTTTATGTTATGTGAATTTTATCTCAAAAAAATTTTTTTTAATCCATGAAAGGAATTTGCCTAAATGTTATAGTGGTTCTGTTATGGCTATGAGTACTGGGTAATTTTTTCCTTTTTCCAAATTTATGCTAATGTGGCTATAATACTCAACTCACTGAAAATAATTTTTGAAATTATTAAAAAAAAAAACCCAACACATTTCCTTTTATCATATTATCTTTCCTGGTTGATTTCCTACCCACATTTCTGTTCTCTCCACTTTGATTCCCCAGATACAGGTCACTGAATCCAAGGCCACCTGTGGAGGGAAGAGTTGAGATGTCAGTGAGAACCTCCAGGTGAGGGGAGCACCTCTACGCCCTCATGGCCCTTGTTCTGTACTGAGGAAGTACATTTCCTCTGCAAGTACTTTTGTGTTAGCATTACCGTACCTTGCAAAGAGTTGCTTAACTTTGCACGGTGCCACTCAACAAATATTTGTGGAATTAAAGATGGTGTGGTAGGCTGAATAGTGGCTTCCAAAGACAACCGTGTCCTAATGCCCAGAGCCTGTGAATGTTACCCCAGAAGAGCCCTTGCAGATGGGATTAAGTTAGAGGATCTGAAAATGGGGAGAGTATCTTGGGTCTTCCCAGTGGGCCCCAAATGCAGTCACAAGTGTCCTGTTAAGAGGAAAGCAGAGGGAGGTGACGTGATGTGATTCTGGAGGCAGAGATTGGAGTGATGGGTTGTGAACGTGGAGGAAGGGGCCGCAAGCCGGGGAAGGTGGGGGAGAGGGGGCTGAGAGAAGCTGGAAAATGCAAGGAAACGAATTCTCCCCTCAGCACTTCCAGAAGGAAGTGGCCCTGCTGACTGACACCTTGACTTTGGCCCCAGTGAAGCTGATCTGGCACTTCTGGCCTTCGGAAGTGTAACAGACTAGACCGGCATCATTTGAAGTCCCTGAGTTTGTGGTAATTTGTTACAGAAGCCGTGGGAAACCGATACAGATGGTGTAGTTGTTAAATCTGTTTTAAGATGCATCTGTTAGAGAAACCAGAGTCTACTGTCTCCCAAATGGCTGTCATTTAAATACAGGGGCCTCCTTCCCGCCAGTGGCACCGATTCCCCCCACTTCCCAGACCCACAAGGCAGGAGAAAAGCAACTGTGGGCTCTGGGAAGGAGGGGAGGGGATGGAGCTCCGCATGTGGAGCCACACTTTTCCTTTTAAATGATTTCTGATGATTTCTCAGTGGCTACACAGTCAGCTAGCTTCGTGCATGGAGAGCCCTGAGGAGGCTGGCTAATCTGGGGATTAGGGTTGGGGTGATGAGAGGAAGGGATGTTGAAAAGAGGAGGTGGTGTCTTAAAGGACAAAGAGGGTTTTGCCTGCGGGGAGAAGGGAAGCAGCCCAAGAGGAGGCGTGCAAGTATGAAGTGTTGCACGCGGGCCAGGCGCCGAGTGCACGGGGTTAGCTGCCCAGGCGGAGTAGGGGGAGTAACAGTGGGGTCACTCATTCACTCATCCAAAGCACACTATCTGACTGCTGTGGGACAAGCCCGGTGATAGGTGCTGAGAACAGAGAGACGAATAAAATATGACCCCTGCCCTTATGGAGTCCATAATCCAGGAAGACAAATGTGTGAATACATAAAAATTCAGTGTAACAAAGGCAAGATTGTGTGTCCAGAGTCTGGACCCTTTCCTTTACCCTTTAGAGGGGAGAGACGAATAGGAAGAAAGGCTGAGGGGGACGAGGGGGAACACGCTGGAGTGGTTTTATTTTGTTTATTTTTTTTTAAATGTTCATTTTTGAGAGAGAGAGAGAGAGTGTGTGAGTGATCGCGGATGAGGGGCAGAGAGAGGCAGAGAGAGAGAATCCCAAGCAGGCTCTATGATGTCAGCGTAGAGCCCGACGGGGGGACTCGATACCATGAACTGTGAGACTATGACCTGAGCCGAAATCAAGAGTGGACACTTAACTGATGGAGCCCCCCCCCCCCCCGGCGCCCCCATGCTAGAGCGGTTTTGAAATTCCAGAGCAGCAACTACCTGTGTTCTTCTTATTCTAACTTTTTTCTTTTTTGGTTCTCTTGTTTTCTGAATTTTCCCCTTTTCCACCAAGATGCTAATCTCAGTTTTATGAGTAACAAGTTGGACAAATCACAGACACCTGGGTACTTCACCTTCTAAGATTAGTGACCGCTCAGGCCCCATCGGACGCAATCGTTACCAACGCCTTTGACCCTGAGGCCCTGCTGTTGGAGGTCCTCCGTTCGACTAGGCAACATTCGTACCCTCCTAACTCAATCCTGGGCTCAAGGCCTCAATGACAGGGTCCCTCACTGGTGGTAACTGCCATGTGACCGGCCGGCTGCCCGGAATCCTGCTTTGTTTTCACTCTCAACGCCTTTGCCAACTCGTCTCGGTAAGAATCCAAGGTGTCCAGCCTGGCCGCGGGCGCGTTTGCTGAGCGTGCTGTGCTGTCTGCGGGCTGGATGGGGCTGCTTGTGAGGTGGTTCTTGCTCCCCAATTCCTGCCCTGATCCCCAATCAATTAAATGCAGATGACTGATTGGGAGATTAACCACTAAGGGTCTGTGACATCTTACCTCTTTTGATCTGAAAGTCTTATTTGAACTTACTATTTCACTTTGCTGTTTTCCCAAGTAGGCCGTAAGCTCCCAGGAACCATTCCTGACCATCTCTGTATAACCACCACCCTGTCCTGTCCAGCCCCGCCATCCCTGCCAGCTCTCACTCCCACACTTTGTGCTATGTGGGCACTTCGCAGTGAGTCCAAAGCCACTGGGGCAGGGTTAAGAGCAGAACCTATGGCAGTGACTGACTAGTCATCACCAGATTGACCCAGGGTCAATTTTGGCGGCCTCTTCCTTAGCAGTCAGCTTAGCAGTGAAGGTCTGGCACATGCTGCCATAGCACAGGCTTCAATAAGTGGCTAATGAAGAAATGAATAAAAGAGCTATTTCAACATACTTGCTGTTAAATTTATCTAAGTACCTTTATATCTTGGGCAATGCTCTTCCTCTCTAGAAGAATCTCAGTGAGGGAGCGATGTGCTAGGAGACGCTTCATGGTGGTTTGCACAAGAAACTGGACAGCTTTGGACACGTGAGCAAGACTGCTCAGGAGAAGAGAGGCATTTTCCATTCGGTAGTAGCAGATGGCATCTATCTCCATTATAAACATGTCTTTGGTCACAACCTGGGCAGAAAAAAGAGTTTGGGTAACAGGCCTTATGTTAGGGCTCCTTTCCCAGGTGGGGATAGAGAAGCTAAATGTGTTCAAAGGAAAGCTTCTCAGTAAGATTATAGCAAGGAAAAAAAAAGTCATTGGCCCACGCTTTATTCAAAATAGATGTGTTTTTGAAGATTACAGAGTTTTTATTAAATACAATAAATAACTCACAATTTAAAGGAATCCTGTTGTAAATGGCTTTGTAAAAATATCAGGAATACTTTTCTTAGGCGAAAACATCCAGTTAATTGTATACCAGACCTTTTTAACCTGAGGCCGAAAGAACCCTGATGCTGAAAGAGAAGCACGTTCTGGGAAACGAGCACTCTGATGAGTTGCTTGCTGGGAGTACGAACGCTAGAGGGCAGACTTGCGACGCACACCAAGAGCCCTAAACGCTGCACATGCTCAACATTTCCGTCTTAGACGCTTGCCACAAGGACATATTTTAAGGATTTAGCTGCAAAGATGTCATTCACAGCGTTGCTTATTATCATAAAAAATTAGAACTAAATAGTCACCATAGGGAATTGGGAATTGTGGTGTATCCATATGCTATGTGTCCATTGAACACAAAGGGGTAGAAACATAGCTAATATATGCAATCGTGATCACAACAGTGTTGACTGAAAAAGGCATGTTATGAAGCAGTATGGTATGTATACCTGTCTGTAAATATAACAACACACATGGAAAAATCTGAAAAGATACACTCCAAAATAACAATACCTGTCTATAGATATATATAGGATGGGGCGCCTGAGTGGGTTAGTTGGTTAAGCGTCCAACTCTTCATTTCAGCTCGGGTCATAACTGGGTTCATGGGATCCAGCCCCACATCAGGCTCTGTGCTGACAGTGCAGAGCCTGCTTGGGATTTTTTTTCTCTCTCTCTCAACATAAATGGATAAACATTAAAAAAAAAAAAAGAATTTAGACATGCATAGGATATAAATATAAATATGTATATGTATATACCATTTATATGTATATATATGATACATATAGGATTAGGGGTAAGTTCTATTTCTTCCCTTTTTACCTTTAATTATCCAAAATAAGCCTCTTAAAAATTTACGTATTGTTTGTATTTAACAAAAGATGGAATGAGAAAGACCTTCAAATGGACAGTGGGAGACAATTTAGGAAAAGTTTACAAATCTAAATTACTAATACAAAAATCTGGATATTTACTTTTAGTTTTTAATTGTGGCAAAATACACGTAACATCCAAATTACCATTTTAATTTTTTTTTTTTTTTTTTTTAGGGAGAGAGAGTGCGAGCTGGGGAGAGGGATAGAGGGGAGACAGAGAGAGAGTGAGGGAGAGATTCTCAAGCAAACTCCATACCCAACATGGAACCCAATGCAGGGCTCAATCCCATGACCCCAGGGTCATGACCCGAGCTGAAATCAACAAATGCCCAACCAACTGAGCCACCCAGGTGCCCCCTCTTTTTTAACCATTTTTAAGCATACCATTCAGTAGTAGTATGTTATACAAGTCACATTGTGGTACAACCAGTCTCCAGAACTCTCTTTTATCTTGCAGAAGTGAAATCCATTAAACAACTCCCCACTGCTTTCCCCCAACCTCTGCAACCACCATTCTACCTTCTGTCTCTATGAATCTGACTCCTCTAGGTACCTCATATAAACGTAATCCTAAGAATATCTGTCTTTTTGTAATGGCTTAACTCACTTAGCTCAATGTTCTGAAGGTTCATCCATGATGTAGTATATGTCAGAATTTCCTTCCTTTTAAAGGCTGTGTAATATTCCATTGTATGTACCACATTTTGTTTTCCAGTCAGTCCTCAGTGGACGGACACTGGGGTTATTTTCATCTTTGGCTATTGCGAATAATGCTGCCATGAACATAGGGATGCAAATATGTCTTCAAGACCTTGCTTTCAGTTCTTTGGGGTATGTACCCAGAAGTGGAATTGCTGGATCAAATGGTTAATTCTACTTTTGATTTTTTGAGGAATTGCTGTACCGTTTTCTATAGCAGCTGCACCATTTTACTTTCCCACAAACAGTGCACAACACAATTTCTCTACATCTTTGCTAACTCTTGTTATTTTGTTGCTGCTGCTGTTGTTTGTTTTTATGGTAGTCATTCCAACAGGTGTGAGGTGGTATCTCATTGTGGTTTTGATTTGCCTTTCTCTAACGATTAGTCTGTTGAGCATTTGTTCATGTGTTTGTTGGCCATTTGTGTATCTTCTTTGGAGAAATATCTGTTCAAGTCTGTATTAGTTAGGGCTCTCCAGAGAAACAGAATCATTAAATCATTAGGGTGTGTGTGTGTGTGTGTGTGAGGGGGGGGGGGGTGGAAACAGTGATTGGCTTACACAATTGTAGAGGCTGATTAGTCCAAAATCTTCAGGGCAGGCCAACAGGCTGAAGACCCAGGGAAGAGCGACGTTGCAGCTCGAGGCTGAGAGCAGTCTGCTGGCAGAACTCCCTCCTCCCGATGGGAGGTTAATCTTATGGCCTTCAACTGATTGGATGAGGCCCACCTACATTATGGAAGGTAATCTACTCAAAATCTACTGATTTAAATATTAGCCTTATCTAAAAACTACCTTCACAACAATACTCAGATATGTTTGACCAAGTTTGGGTGCCATAGCTTAGCTAAGCCGACCCGTAAAATAAACCATCACAAAGTCCTTTGCCCATTTTTAATTGAGTTGTTTGCTTTCTTGTTGAGTTATAAGATTTCTTTATATATTCTGAATGTTATCAGGTATATTATTTGCAAATATTTTCTTCCATTCCATAGATTGCCTGTTCATCTTTTGGTCATGTCCTTTGAAACACAGAAGTTCTTAATTTGATATAGTCCATATCTTTCCTTTTCTACTTTTGAGCTTAAATATTATTTGCCTTGGATCAGACCTGGTAGCTCAGCCATATGAAATATAGAGAGAAAGCAAAATCCATCATTTGGCTTACCTCATGAAAGGGTACCTCCAAGGTTTGGAGACGAAGGTCGACCTTGTGGTAGGTATCCAGGCAGGGCAGAAAGAAGAAAAGGCCTAGAAGAGGGGGCAGGGAAATTAACAGGTGAATAATTAGTAGGGAGACTGCTTGGGGTTCACCTCTTTGGTGTCAGGTTGCATATTGCATTGTTTTCCTTAGCCTCCAAGTACACACAGATCATCGGGCAATCCCACCTCCACCCCTATAATGTGTTTGTGGTTGCTAAGGTTACCATATAAATTTTTTTGTTCAATCTAGGACACTTCTGAGGATGAAAGGAGAGCACTGTTACAATGTACTCCAGGAAACTGGCATTAACAGGGATTAGCCCCAGCAAAATGGGCCGTATGGTTACCTCGGTCATGGTGCTGACCCCTCCAGATCTTGAGTAACATGTCTGTCCTCTTCACTAGATTTGAACTCCCTAGCAAGAGTGTCTTATGCACTATTGCTAGCGTTAGTGCTTGACGTAGTGCCTTTTAGGTGCTCTGTAAAATTATTTTTGAATGCATGCACGTACCAAGATGACAAACTTTAGAGCCAGCAAACTCCCTGTGGTACTTCTTAAAATGTGAGCCCCCGAGGTAGCACAATAGCAATATCATGATACCAGCCATTGAGTTGGCTCATTATTCCTTATGTACTTAATGTAATGTACAGGGTTAATGGGCAATAAATAGTTTTAGATTGATTTATCGAGATTTTCTGAGAGCCAGTGGGCAATGTGGGCTCCAGCAATCGCCAAAGCCTTACTGGAGCCAGGAGCACCTCACAGAGCCCAGGACCTCTCTGAGGAGCAGCCCAGCTACTGGCCCTTTCTAGCCCCAATAAAGAAGGAGGCCGACAATTAGAACCAGAACAAGATGGTCGCTGTCCTAGACTACAGGGTCTGGTTCTACTTTTATGTGGACCCATCTGCTTGTCCTGAATCGCCAGACTCTGATTTGTGTCCTCTAGTCTAGTCTCTCTTCTCTGCTGTTTCTGTTTTCCTGGCTTAGCACTTGGACCCTTTCCAATATATGCACAGTGGGACTTTGTTCCTTCCTATGACTTCCTGGCTGGCTTGGATCTCTAAACCCCAACGACTAGACTTTATAGGCTAACCATGCTTCTATCTGTGCACCATAATCAGCTTGGACCTCTAGAGAGGAACTCTACTAAACTGTAAGGTCCTAGAGATCAGAAACCATGTCTCATTTATCCACCTTCATCTCCCTGGTAGTTTTGTTTTTTTTTAATGTTTATTTATTTTTGAGAGAGAGAGAGAGAGAGAGGAAATGAATGAGTCGGGGAGGGGCAGAGAGAGAGGGAGACACAGAATCTGAAGCAGGATCCAGGCTCTGAGGCACAGAGCCTGATGCAGGCTCAAACTCACGGAACAGTGAGTGAGATCATGACCTGAGCCAAAGCCTGCCGCTTAACCAACTGAGCCACCCAGGTGCCCCCATCTCCCTGGTAGTTATATAGTATCTAAAACACAGGAGGTGCTCAGTCTATGTTTTCTAAGTTCCATGAACCAAAGGCCAATTTTCCACTTGGATGCTAGACTTTGCCTATCTCCCATGGTTTGGTCTGACCCCTAGATTCTGAACTAGCTCAGCTTTGCTCTGAGAATTGACAGCACTCTAACCAAATACACGTTCTGCTCAAACCAGTGCCCAGCCATGGGCCCTAAGCCTACTTGCCAGCCTGGCCCTGGCATTTGACTTTCTGCACCCATCCTCTCTCTTGGTCACTGTGACCTGGTGGTAATGCTCTCTGACTGATCTTTCATAACCTGTGCTACAAATAACAGAGGGGTGCCTGGGTGGCTCAGTCGGCTAAGCATCCAGCTCCTAGTTTTGGTTCAGGTCATGATCTTACGGCTCTTGAGTTTGAGCCCCACATTGGGCTCTGTGCTGATGGCACAGAGCCTGCTTGGATTCTCTCTTTCTTCCTCACTGCCCCTCACCTGCTCTCTCTCTCTCTCTCAAAATAAATAAACTTAAAAACTTTAAAAAGATTAGAAAATGCAAATACCACCGGATCAAGTTATTTCATATTATCTGAGGTCCATATGACAAATATGCATGGATTGAAGAAACTGGCAAGTCTATGGGGGATAAAAATGTGTTTCGTACCAGGGCCTTTGGCTCTTCCAGGAAGTAGATGTCCCAGTCGGAATATTATTACTCTCTCATACTCCTGTACAACCTAAAGGGAAAGATTATACTTTTGAAACATTCCAAGAAAGAAAAATAAAGTCTTTAAAAGGCCTAGGCAAGAGAGTGATCCTAAATATGCGAAAACTTTAGTTCTGAGAACCAAGAAGAAATTTCTATTAATATTTACATTTCCAAAATCTACACTTAGCAAGTAGAGAATTTCAGAAACATGTTATTTTTTTGAACCCATGAACAGAATTTTGTTTAAAGAGTCATGATTATTTAAAAAAATACTTCTACTATGTCCAACATATCTAAGTCAAGAAAATCACAGCATGTTTTATCTTGTATTTTCCTGGGACTTCTGCATTAGCTTTTATATGTATCACACATTAGCTATTTAATAGAGAGGGTATATTTTAATACCACTTGTGATATTTTGTTTCAAACTGCATTTTTTTCTGAGGTTGCTTCAAAATCATTCAATTGGCTTTTAATTTGTCTATTCTCATTGGTGATGTATCTAGAAAAATTAAGTACACCCTGGAAATGTGTAGTTATTTTGTAAATGGCAAAAGGGGAGATTCTCTGTGTAGAAATGTCTGTGTATTAGAAGAGAGACAGGAAAGTTAATGAACACTACTTCAAAAATAAACTTCATTTTCTGGCCCAGTATCAAGATTTGGGTTCTAATGCTTGCTTATCATTAGCTTACATGGTCTGTTGTTTTGTATATACGCCCCCACCTGTGAACTGTTGAATGAACAAACGATTATTTGTGACTGAGCCATATCTATTTTCCTTCTTCATTCTCTTTCTGCTTTAGAAAGCTCCACTGAGGGGCGCTGGGTGGCTCATTCTGTTAAGCATTCAACTCTCGGTTTCAGCTCAGGTCATGATGTCAGAGTTCATGAGTTCAAGCCCCACGTCAGGTTCTGTGCTGGCAGCACAGAGCCTCCGTGGGATTCTCTCTCACTCTCTCTCTGTTCCTGCCCCATTTGCACTGTCTCTGTGTCTCTCAAAATAAAATAGTCAATTATTAAAATGTAACAAAGAGACCAAAAGAACACATTTTGAAGTGTGCTTCTTAGGGTAACAGGCTCCACTCTTCCACTATAAGTTCTTTGGGGTCAAGAACCATGTCTTGTTGATCCTGCTGAGTCTTACAGCTCCTGTGCCCGAACGCTGCCTTGCTTGGTGAAACAACGAATGAGAATGAACGTCTAGATTTGGTTTCCAGAGCAGGCCCCAGGCACCCACAATTTCTTGGCTCTCTAGCATTACTTGTTTCTTTTCTGCTTTTATTGGAAGAAACAAATTCTTCCTAGAGACGAAGAGGAGTCTCACTCCTTCAAGACCTTGCTCAAATGTAATACCTCATTCTGCTTCAATATGCTCTTCCTAATTGACTTTTAGGGTTTACCATCTTAAGTGGCCGGACCTGAGAGCCTTCCCCACAATGCGTGGCTGAGTTAGTGTTGGACTCTAGGGCAGCCATACAGGTGCTCAGTTCCCCCTTCAAAAGAACCCGCTACCCACTATCTGCTGTCTATAGAAGACACATTTTGGATTAAACGTTACACGTAGATGGAAAGCAAAAGGATAGGAAAGACATACCACACAAACAGCAACCAAGAGAAAGCAGAAGCAGCTATACTGATACCAGACAAAATGGAATTTAAAACAAACACACAAAAATGTTATAGGTGATAAAGAGGGACACTACATAACAATAAAAGGGTCAATGCATTAGGAAAGTATAACAATGATAAACATGTATGCACCTAAAAACAGAGATCTAAAATATAAGAAGCAAACACCAAGAGAATGAAAACAGAAATAGACAATTCAAGCAACCCTAATAGTTGGAGATTTTAATATTCCACTTCCCTTTTTTATAAGTTTATTAATTTATTTTGAGAGAGAGACAGAAAGAGTGTGAGCAAGTAGAGGAGGGGCACTGAAAGAGAGGGAGAGTGAGAGAATCCCAATCAGGCTCTGCACTGACAGTGCAGAGCCTGATATGGGGCTCGAACTCATGAACCGTGAGATCATGACTGTAACCGAAGTCGGACACTTAACCAAATGAGCCACCGAGGCACCCCTTTAATATTCCACTTTTAATCATGGACAGAACAACTAGACAGAAGATAAAAAAGGAAACAAGACTTGAACAACACGACACACAAATTAGATCTAACAGATGCTGACATACAACTCCACCCAACAACAGCGAAGTATGCTTTCTTCTCAAGAATGCAGGAAATCTCTCGAGGATAGACTAAATAAATATTAGCCATAAAATAAACCTCGATAAATTTAAAACTACTGAAATTACACACAAAGTATATTATCTGACTACAAAGGAATGAAGTTAGAAATCATTAACAACGAGATTTGGGGAATTTGCAAATATATAGAAGCTGAACAGCACACTCTAAAATAACCAATGGATCAAAGAAGAACTCAAAAGAGAAATTAGAAAATATTTTGACTGAGTGAAAACAATAACACAAGATACCAAAACATATGGGAGGCAGCTAAAGCAGTGCTGAGAGGAAAATTTATAGCTGTAGATGCCTATAAAAAAAAGAAGAAATATCTCAAAATAAAACCCTAATTGTCTACCTTAAGACACTGGAAATAGAAGAGCAAACTAAACCTAAAAAAAGCACAGAAGAAAATAACGAAGATTAGAGTGGAAATAAATGCAATTGAAATTAGAAAACCAATAGAGAAAATCAACTAAGCCAAAAGTTGGTTCTTTGAAAAGATCAACAAAGTTGTCAAATATTTAGCTAACCTGACCAAGAAAAAAAAGAAGACTCAAATTTCCAAAATCAGGACTGAAAAGGAATGACAGGAACATCACTTCGGTCCTTATAGGGAAAAAAAGATGATAAAAGAAAATACTATGAACAACTATATGCCCCAAATTAGATAACTGAGGTGAAATGGACAAATTCCTATATAGACACAGTGACCAAAACTGACTTGAGAAAAAAGAAACCTGAAAAGACCTAGAAGTAAACGACTGAATTAGTAGTTTTGAAATTTCTCACAGAGAAAAGTCCAGGACCAGAGGCTTCACTGGTAAATTGTGTCATCCATTTGACAAGGAAGTAATACCGGTTCTTCACAGATTCTCCCCAAAAACAGAAGAGGAGGAAAATACGTCCAACTCATTCTCTGAGGCCAGTGTTGTCCTGGTCCCAAAACAAGAGTGAGACATCACAGGAAAAGAAAACTGCAGACCAGTGTCTCCTATGAACATAGATGTGAAATCGTCAACAAACTACCAGCAGCCGGAATCCAGAAACCGGTGAGAAGGATTTTACACAACAACCAAGTGGGATTTATGTTAGGAATACGCAGTTGATATAACATTCAAAATTCAGTGAATGTAATACACCGTATCAATGGAATAAAGGGCAAATACCACGTGATCATCTCAATGGGTGCGGAGAAGGTGTGGGACAATATTCAACACCCTTTCCCGAAGAGAGAGGAGGTGGAAGAGAAGGAGGAAGAGAAGGTCTTCACGTGAGTATAATCAGCACTGGCCCCAGCAGCACGTGTAGCATTCCAGCCAAGGACATGCTCTTCCCCAGCAGCTCCAGACACTGGTAACAATGGCAGGGGTCTTGGGGCCTGGCTGTTTCTGCCCATCATGAAGTAAACTTTGCTCTGGAGTTCCCTTTCAGGCCAACACTACGTTGGGGCCGTGCCACTTTCTGTCCAATCCTTCCTTCACTTCTTACAGCACAGGTATCAGAACCGCATCATTGTCTGAAGGCTTTCTTTGCCTACTCTTACTCTCTCTCCCCTTAACCTTTCATAGAAAATGCCTCCCAATAAACCCCTTGCACTTGTGTTCCTGTCTTGGCACGTGCTTCCTGAATAGACATGGTCTTTGGTCTTCATTTACTTCGAGGACAGGCATGTGGGCCAAAGAGAATCATCGTTCATAGTACAGAAGCTGCCTGAGAAGTTTCTGGAAGTGCCAGAAGTGGACATCATGATCTATTCTGGGTTGATCTTTGTGTCGCAGAGTGCAGATGACCTAGACAGAGCCCCTGACCTGAGGGCTCTCAGTCTAACGGGAGAGACTGGGTGCCAGCAAAGATTATACACGTGCTAAGTGCTAGAATGGATGTGAAAGCAGAGAGACAGGAGAGCACCGGGAAGGAACTGACAGTCTTGGGGAGTCCGGGAAGGCTTCACAGTTACATTTGAGCAAGGTCTGAAAGGAGTAAGAGCTCTCCTGGCAGACAAGTGGGCGGAAGGCCATTCTATGCAGAGCAGATGGCACATACCAAACCGCAGAAACGTGGATGTGTGGTCAGTGAGAGGCACCGGGAGATTACCTATTGGGTCCTCATGGAATCTCACCTTTATGCAGAACCAGATAGAAAAAGGGAAGGTCACAATGACGAAGAGCAGGGATGTGAGGACAAGAAGCCATTCACAGGCCCCTAAGCCTGAAGACTTGGTACCTAAAAAAAAGTCAGGGAATAATTATATTAGAACTTTACCATACTCACTGACTAGCACTTGTTGGTCAGTGCTATTAGGGGCAGAGCAGACTTTGCTGGAAATTTAGAGTGAGGTGGATGTCAGTGGTCAGTTCCCATGATAGGGCATGTCTGTGAAGGGCTATGCAGGCCTGTGGAAGGTGGAGAAGATTCCTGGAATCTGGGCGGAAGGTCTGGGTTCGAGTTCTGGCTCCACCATTTTCTGTCAAATGACCTTAAGCAAGGCACGTGATCTTTCTGAACCTGATTTCTCATCTATGCAATGGGGAGGCTAACTATGCTATATCTGTTATGTAGACATAACACTATCTCATAAAATCTCATACCAACACTCTCATGAGACATTTTTCATAGTATCGATGTAAGTATGAAATGGCATAGATGCACAAAAAGTACTGAAGTGTGCTTCTCGTGTACCACGTGTTGAATCCGAGGAGACCGGACCTCTGGTCCGGTGCAGAGGCTCATCTTCCCTGAGCTTACTCCCCCCTCCACTCCTGCCCCAAATGTCCGGATTCCTCCATTGGAGTCCCTTCTTTGGATCAGGGTGTGGTTCTCCAGACAGTCGTTACCAAAGTAATGATGAACTGCACTGCAGAACATCCGGGTTGCTTGGGTGATAAAGGAAAATGTATGAGGGAAAGTTAATCTCAAGACCACAAGCTTCTTGGGGCCTTGTCTTGGTTACATTGTATCCTCAGGGCCTACAATAGTGTCTGACACAACATAGGTGGTCCATAAATATTTGTTGAATCATAAGACTGAAGAAGTGGATAGTGAAAATTAGTTAAATGTAATAGTTAGGGAAATCTCAAGAATTTTAATCTCCAAGGTACTGTGACACTAGCCGAAGAGATATGTTTTGTGAGTTTAAAAACCTAGGGGCGCCTGGGTGGCGCAGTCGGTTAAGCGTCCGACTTCAGCCAGGTCACGATCTCACGGTCCGTGAGTTCGAGCCCCACGTTGGGCTCTGGGCTGATGGCTCGGAGCCTGGAGCCTGTTTCCGATTCTGTGTCTCCCTCTCTCTGTGCCCCTCCCCCGTTCATGCTCTGTGTCTGTCTGTCCCATAAATAAATAAAAAAGTTGAAAAAAAAATTAAAAAAAAAAACAAACCTCGTAGAGGACTAGAAGGTGACTAATCATTAGGAATGGTGAAAAGTCTATTTTTGAGGGATGGAAAAAAGAGGAAAATTAATCGGTTAGGCTTGAATATTTGATTTCCATGCCTGTAAAATAGTTGGAAAGGTCATCACCAAATTGATCACTTGAAGAAAACAGATGCAAAGCTATGCTAGCACGAAACTAGTATCAGCACTAAATGCTATAGTACATAGTTCCCCAGGTCTGTCCCATGGAACACTAATCCCACAGGGTGCCCCACAAACCAAGAGTTCCCTGGCTAAACAAGTTTAGGAAATACTGTGTACTGTATCCCAGTGTTCACCTGCATACTGAAGCTACGAGTGTCCCTGCAGTAAAGAAGCATTCTTAGCTTTGTTTAACCTAGGATTTCCCAGACATTTGGCCAGGCAAGTTTTCTCCAAGGAAATTCATGTTCTATAAAATTTATTTCCTTTGCAATCTATTTTGGGAAATGCTACTCTAGCAACATCATATTAGTTTCTACAGCATTCTTTCTTAGAGGCAGTAAGGGTGTTATTGCCATGTTTAATTAGTTTATAAATATATTTCATTTGCCAGTGGTAACCGTGCAAGTAAAAAGAAATAAAAGTACATACAGACAAAATAACATCTTAGAAGGGAAGGAAGGCCTCAAAATGCCTTCCTGCAGTAGTTAGGGATGTGAACAGAAAACTAACAGTTATATTCCAAATCTAGCTTATAGCTTTACTCACAAAATATTATTCTCTTGAAATGAGTTCCTTGAATACTCAATTTGGTTTAAGTGAATGGTGAAATATTAAATGTTAAGGCAGAAGGAGCCTTAGATATGACATAATCTCCAACATTTCGGTCAGGTGAAGCTCTACTCACGTCCGAAGCAGCCTGGCCGTGGGAGTGTGGTTCTAGGTGAGAAGGGGATGTTGTTTCTCTTGCTCCCTGTCCCCTGGAAGCCACAGAAAGTTCAGACAAGGGCTCAGCAAGGCCGACTCACCTTCGGTGAGCCTTCTCATCTATTGCGTGGGGTCTTGGGCTCCAGTCATTTAACAGCTGGAGAAACTGAGTGAAGCCCACGAAGGCGACGTTACTTGCCTGAGGCCACATAGCCGGTTGGTGGCAATGCCGGGACCATGACCACAAAGCAGGACCACAAAGTGCGGTACCACGCAAGGATGGGCTTTTCAGTCAGACCACCTTACTCTGCAATTCTGGCTCCTCCACTTCCCAGCTGTAGGTTTTTGGCAAGTTACTTAATTTCTCACCATGCTTCCTCATCAGTGATATGGGAATGATAATACTCAGTAAAATACCCAGTGTGTGTCTGGCACAGGGTTAAAACTCCATACAGGGCAGAGGGCGGGGGCTTTCTTCCTTGCCTATCCTGCCAATGTGGTCTAAGGCATAATACTTACCTCTAACCTCATCCATACTGTGGCATTGACCCAACAAACCTTTAATGACCAGAAGTTTCTGACTGATGAAAGGGCTCAGTTGGGCAAAACAGCATTAACATGGTCCATATAAACTGCATCCCAGCTGCAGGAATCTTTCATAAATCATAGCTTTCAATGTTCCAGCATACACTGTTTTGCTGGTAACCAGAAAATTATGTTAAAATTTCATTGCCAGCAGGAAGCAATACAACACGCTATTCCTTATTTACTATCCTCTAGACCCCTGTCATTCTACACTAAAGGTGTAATGATTTTTTTCTCTTCCATTCATTATGAAAAGGACTGGAAGCAGATGTATTTGTTCCTAAGAGTGGCTTCACCCCCAGAAGCCAAAAATATCTGTTTCCCTATGATTCCCTCCTTCAGTCTAACCTTCCTCTCTCTTGCAAGGAATCTGTGCAAATTTGGTATATTCTCTGCTCCAAGCTTTGTGCAAAGTGCTTTGGATGGCATATCTCCTTGTACCCTCACCTCTTTCCTCCAAGGTACCTATTGTTGTTATCCCTGGTGCTTAGGTGGTTAAGGCCCTGCCTCTGATCACATGGCTAGTTAGCTGAGTTGGAATCCAGGTCTGACTCTTCTCTCCTTGGCTCTGCTGTCAAACGATCATCCCAAAGAAAGTTTAAAATACTTTTAGGTAAGACTGGGGATGAGGAGAGAATACTAAGCTACATAGTCGCGTAGAACCACCAACTCAAGAATGTCTTCACTTAAATTAGGTGCCCATATACTCATTAGCCACGAAAACCAGCTGCATATTCCTTTGCCATATTCACTGGTCCCCAACCTGGACCACACTCCCCTCCGCTTCCCATCCATGGCTGGCCTCTAAGACCAACGGTATTCAGTTGATGTTATTTGTATTTCTTATGTATTTTGGTCCCTACCACTTGGTGGAGGGTTGGCGGGTCCTAACCAATTTAGGCCTTTCATTCCCTGGGAATCTGAGCAGGACCAGGAGGTTGCTCTGGCATCGGTGGCTCTCGGTGCCATGACTCGTTCCACTTTATGTGACATCCCGTGGTACCACCTGGAGAGACACCCCCCACCTCCCCGCCCATATCCCCCGTCCTCCCTACCTTCCTCGGGCCGCTCGCTCTCCAGCAGCGCCGCCACCTCGGTGCCCTCCTCACCGGAGCCGCGGACCTCATCCACGTCCACCACGGTGGCTGAGGGCGCTGGGGGCTCCCCCCGGCTCCCCGCCCTCTCCCGCCCGGCGTCCCGGCGCCCACGGCCACCGCCGCCCCTCTCGGTCTTCGCCCTCCTGTTCTCCCTGTGGGGGGATCCGGCGCCTCTCCCGCGGGCCTCTCTGGAGGAGCTCCGAGCCCTCCTCTCCATCGTCGGAAGCTGGCCCGGGATCGCGGTCTCTGCAGAGTGGCCCGCGGGCGGGACCAGGGACCATCTTGACCGTGGGCGGGCCCGGGCGGTGCGCGGGGCGGGGCTCTGCTCGCCCGGAGGCGGGACGGCGATTCCCCGAGGCACGCCCGCCCGCCTAGCCCGGCGACTCGCGCGACCTTGGCCACGAGGCGTTTGTGAGAAGCCCGCGTGCCGCTTGGTGTGGCATCAACATGCGTTTCTACGGACGACGATTTGAGCTGTAAAGCAGGTTCGGTTGCCTGACCCACCGCGGAGGCTCGCAGATCGCCGAAGGGGCGGTGGCGCTCTGCGCGGCCTCTGCGCGGCCTAGGAACTAGGGACGTGGTCCTCGACGGGGCGCTAGACAGTTTAAGGGAACAGAATATAGGTCGTCGACTTAGGGTAACCCTAAGGTAAAATAAGAAACTTCTCCCAAGCGTCCCCTTACCCCCTGGAGGCTTCCGCAGGGCGCCTTTCCCCTCTCCCCCTCATTTATTTTATATCCTGGCCCTGCTCTTGCAAGTGCTTTCAAAGTGGAATTAGTGTCGTCGGACTACTTTTGGGAGGATCCACATTTCAAAAGGTGGGGGGGGGGGGGTTAGAGAAACTCTTCTAGGCCCCTTCTCTCTCTCTCTCTCTCTCTCAGTCTCTCTCTTTCTTATTTACATTTATATTTCTTTTTTTTTTATTAACTTATTATTGTGTTTACTAATGCTTAAGCCTGTTGATGATGTAATGCTTCTTGAAGAATCATAGAAGGGAAGGGATCTGATTTTTTTTTTTTAAGGATGCTTTTGTCCTTTGCTAGGCTCCGTTCCCATGCTTCCTTGATGAAGGCAGGACTGTCACTTTTTCAGGTTCCTGGCCATGCTCCATCCAGCAACAAACTGGGGGAGCTGCCCCACTCACTTCTGAGGAACTTGAAACATTGAATACATTTATTTCTCTTTTACTATTAATCATTTCTCACTGAATGGGTAACGCTTCAAACTCAAGATTGAGGATTCTGCTCCAATACCGCAGATCACGATGGCAGAAATGTTTTTTATTTTTCAATAGTTACTGAGTTCACACAGGTTTTCCTGTCAAAAACCTTATTAAAGAATGTGGACCCGAAGTAACTCCCAGGGCTCTGGAAAAACCACTCCAGTACTTTCTTCCATATATTCTAAATTAGGTCACTGGGAATAAAATAAAGGATTAGTAATAAAGTAACTTAAATAGATTTGGCTTTTACTCTCTAAACCTGATTCTTGCATGGTAGGAATGTAAGAGAGGCAAATGTTTCTTTCGAGTGCCTGCCTCAATTTATAGTTCCTGCCTAGAGCAGGACACTGAGAAAAATTCTGAAGCTTCATTTGGTCCACAGAGGGAAAAGTATCATGATTACCTAATATTCACTCAAATTAATAGTTGCTATTAAACACAGTTTATCATCCTGTAAATATTTTCCTGTTCAGAAAAGCCTGAAACCGATGATAGTATTTGTTTTTCTTCTCAGCCTTTGATTCTGTTACAAATTAATTGGACCTGGGGTCCTAGCTATAGATTCTTAAAGTCAACTTGGCCCTCAATTTTTACTGCAGGAATTGGCAGGCTATCTGGCCAAATGATAATCTCAAAATTGCACCCTGTCTGCCAAGAAGATAGAGGGATTTCTGGCCGGAGAAAAATTGATGAGAAAAGGCCCTACTTGGCATTGGAGCCCATGTAGGGTGCCTGTCGTCAGTCTCCTTTGCTGTAGGGACGATGGAGAAGTTACATGATCTGACTTCATTTTCAGTATCCACATATAACAGTAACACACACACCTGCTTACAACACAAGGCTGTTGAGATTATGGATGGCAATGACAATAGCTGAGAAAGAGCATCACGTTGCATGGTCAACCCAGCATCTCTGAAAGGTGTGGGGTGGGGGGGGGGCGGGGGTTGGGGAGTGCTGAGGCAGCAGAATGCACCTCAGGCTGGCTGTACTTACAAGGATGTTGCTGTTTTCTTTCTAGATTCCTTTTTAATTGAAAGTATTGGTCATCCCTTTGTTGAAAGTATATGTGCACATTTTTGTACTCTTAATACTTTACTCCTTGTTTGGATTTGTTATGAGACTGGCATCTGTGAGGGTTTACTAGGAAGGGAGGACCAATTACAGTTGTTGACTTTTGAGTTTGTTTCCAAGGTCAAAGGCCAAAGGTCTTGGACGATTTCAAGGCTTTCTAAATTATTATAGTTATTATTTAGTATTTTGAAATTTTATATCCATTTGCTAAGTGGAGTGAATATTGGTTTATATGAATTATTTAATAGAAAGCCGGGACTTCCTTGTCACTAGATAAAGTTGCAAATCTTATCATTTTAGAGCTGGAGGAGACTACAGGGACTTAAATTTGACTTTCTCAATTTGTAGATGGCAGAGAGGCCAACCAGGAGGGCATAGCAGAGGTCTAGAAAAGTGGTGCTATTGAGAGCTGGACCTGGGCTGTGGCAGTGGGAATGGCCAGGAGGCAGAAGCTGCTTCTCAGGCGGAGAATCAACAGAATTTGGTGACCACCTGCGTTAATGAGGGGGGCAGTGAGGAGATAGAAGACTTGGGAAGGGTGGGTATTTTAACCTTAATAGGCTGGGCAGTTGGTCACAACCGTAGACATCTCTGGCAGACCCACTTCCCCTAACTATACTGATCTGGAACATCTATGTTCCTTCCCACCTTCTTCACTGGCGATGCACTTGTCCCCTTGTCAGGTCCAGTGGTGAGGTAAGACTGACCTGACTTTTCTCTCATTAATTCACTTCACAGATACTTAGTGAGCACCTGCTATGTGTTTGGCACTGCTCACCTCTGAGGACGTAGAGGTAAGATATGGCACATGCCCTCGAGGAACGTCTAAAAGGGAGAAACTGATGTGTAAACAGGTGTAATAAAGTGTTATGATGGAAGGGTAGCCTGAGATAAGGCTGTTCCTTTTATTTTATTTTATTTTATTTTATTTTATTTTATTTTATTTTATTTTATTTTTTATTTTTTTAAAGGTTTTTTCGGGGGGTTATTTATTTATTTTGAGAGAGAGAGGGAGAGAGGGCACATGCAGGGGAGGGGCGGAGAGAAGGAGGGACAGAATCCCAAGCAGACTCCGTGCCATCAGCGCAGAGCCTGATGTGGGGCTTGAACTCACGAACTGTGAGATCATGACCTGGGCCGTGATTGAGAGTCGGCCGCTTAAGCGGCTGAGCCACCCAGGCGCCCCTCCTTTTATTTTTTTAATGTTTATTTATTTATTTTGTGTGTGTGTGAGAGAGAGAGAGAGAGAGGCAGAGAGAGAAGGAGAGAGAGAATTCCAAGCAGGCTTTGTACTGTTAGCACAGAGCCTGATGGGGGCCCTGATCCCACAAACCCTGAGGTCATGACCTGAGCGGAAACCAAGAGGCAGACATTTAACCAACTGAGCCACTCAGGTGCCCCAAGGCTTTTCCTTAATTGTAGGTAATCTTCCGTCCCAAATCTGGAGGTATTCCTGATTGCCAAGAGGGAGGGAAGACAGAGAACCACTGAAAGAGAACATAGCACGAGGAAAAGGGATTATGGACAGCTTTGGCTCCATTATACTTCAATTTAGAATTTGTTCCCATTGCAGATGAAATTCCTTTAAATTTCTTATTTCTGGTGACTTGTGTGACCCTGAGGATGCTGAAAACAGGTATGTTACCTGTTTAAGTGTCGGCCTACGGAGGAGATGGAGGGGGAGGGAGAGGGAGGGGGAGGAAGAGTGAGAGAGAGATCTTGAGATCCTAGAGCAGCGCTTCTAATTTGCCCATTATGGCAAACAAAATTTGAATAGCATACTGGGGCAAACAAAAGGATTTGAGGTTATCTATAAAGGGCACAGCAATAAAATTATATCTTTGAGGGGAGCTGGGTGGTGTAGTGGGTTAAGCGTCCAACTTTGGCTCAGATCATGATCTATCTTGTGGTGAGTTTGAGCCTCATGTCCAACTCTTGTGCTGACAGCTTGGAGCCTGGAGCCTGCTCTGGATTCTGTGTCTCCCTATGTCTCTGACCCTCCCCCGCTCATGCTCTGTCTCTCTCTCAAAGAATAAACACTTAAACATTTTTTAGAAAAATATATCTTTGATATAGGATCATGGTAAAAAGAAAATGGAAAAGTATTAGGGATTCAATATCAGAAGGTTTGTGTACTAATAAAATATTTTTTAATTACTTTGAAAAAATGTTTATTTATTTATGTTTGAGAGAAAAAGAGTGAGAGCATGAGCAGTGGAGGGCAGAGAGGGAGAAAGATAGAGAATCCCAAGCAGGCTCTGCACGGCCATCACAGAGCACAACGTGGGGCTTGAGATCTCTCTCATAAACTGTGAGATCATGACCTGAGCTGAAATCAAGAGTCAGACGGTTAACTGACTGAGACACCCAGGCGTCCCCTAATAAAATATTTTCGATTTTAAAATACAATCTTGAAATGCATGAAGGGAGTAAAGAGATACAAACTTCCAGTTATAAATAATGGAGATATGTAGTGGCATGGTGACTGTAGTTAATAGTACTGTATTTCATAAGAGAGTAGATCTTACAAGTCCTCATTACAAGAAAAAAATTTTTTTCTAAACTGTGTAGGGCATGGATGTTAACTATTGTGGTGCTCATTTGCAATATATACAAGTATCAAATAATGTACACCTGAAACCAACATGTTACATGCCAATTAATTATACCTCATTAAAAAAATTAAAGTTCACTTTAAATGAGGAAAAGAAGAATCGTGAGCTTGCGTCCACAAATATATTGTTTGAAGTTGTTACATAAAATTTCTAATCAAATCTTTTTAATAAGCTTTTAAAATTTTTGTCACCATTGATGAGAAACGTGTTCACACAATTTTAAAAGTTATTTTCCAGCTTTAGTGAGCTATAATTGACAAAAATTATTTTTAAGGTGTCTATCACGATAATTTGATATACATCGTAAAGTGATTAAAAGAGTTTTTAAAACTGGAATGTCTGGGTGGCTCAGTTAAGCACCGAACTCTTGATTTTGGCTCAGG